GTATTACAGGGCATATAACAATGAATTTTATATATATGTACCGAATTATATATTCAGCAATTACCAGCGTATCCAATTTCCGTTGGTAAATAAACCACTTTAACGATTCAACCTCGCTACCATCGGTTGACTGGACAATACACTACATGAGCTGATTAAGCTCATGACAATACCTAAGTACGTGTGTCGCACGAGTCACATCAGGGCACACGAGAGGACATATCCATTAAGGGTCGCCGTTACCGAAATCGGTAAGGAGGACTATACGTGTGTCGTTGACAGGTCAACCTCGCTACCATCAGTTGACTGGACAATACACTACATGAGCTGATTACATGAGAACACTAGCTCATGATGATACCTAAGTACATGTGTCGTTGACGGGTCAACCTCGCTTTTCTAACAGAACAATCTACACAATATGCTGTTTAAAATTCATTCTTATATACCCTAATAAATACATCATGCCTTGATTGACTGAATGTCCAAATTGACGCAATGATTCTTTTTCCCAAAGATTTTTCACACTTATTGTTTAATTCTACAATATAATATACGTTCCTATTCTAAACGAGTATATTTTCGTCACTAAAAACTAATAATATAAGCTTGTTTATCTCAAATAATTAGGGTGGGTTAAAGTTGATTGTTACAGAAGCCTTGATAGACAACGAAACGCGGAGTCAAAGCTTCGACGTCGAAAATGATACCTCCGCCAATTATCGCCACAAAAGTTCTGCTGAGACAACCAACCTCAATCAATCCGACATAGCAACTTATTTTATTACCTACGTATATCATTTTCTTGTATTTTTTCAAAGTATATACTTGAAAAAATTTCTATTTTCACTAAAAATCAGATTAACTGATCATTCCCCTTCATTATATGCCTTTTGCCTTTTCATATGGGTTGTATCTCTACACAATAAATAGGTATATACAGTCTACAATCTAAAAATTAATATTTCATTATATTACTGGATTACCATACCCGATTAATTCATTTCGAAAATGAAGTAAGTGCTGCATCAAGACAGTTTTATTTCATATCTTATTCTTAACACACAAGAGCTTATATTTAAAGGACTTTTTATATATTGGTGTTGGATTTATATATAGTATAAGGCCAAGAGGATCAGACAAAAGTTTAGGATAGAGAAGTAAGCGACAGTTTAAGATATCGTTGGTTTAGAGGTATTACAGTTAAATTGTATAACATAACCGACTTTAAAGGTATCAGTTATGTTATGTTCCATATAAGACACAATCCCAGACTTCAAGTATACAGAGTATTTCCAATATCGATAATACTCTAAAATACTTTGCCCAAGAATTGAACCAGCGACCTCTTTGAAGACCAACGAAACAGTTAAAATGAAAGAGAAAAAGAATAAGTGTGAAAAGTCTTTAAGCTATGAAATTATATATTTTCATCATGTAGAATAGTTTAGATTATAGTTTAGTTAAATATATATATATATATGTCTTAAATATAAGAATCTAGCGATATGTCTGCAAAAATTTTTACTACGCTGAAGACGAAACTAAAGACAGCTAACTTTTTGTTTTTTTTTTCAAATAAAAATTTTCTCTAACAGTCAAAATTAACTGTGTGGCTAGTGTTTGTCACTTTTTTATTAGTATTTTTTTCAAACAGTGGCTTGAATGTCCCATCTCTTTATCCTCAAAAGATCAGATCAAAATCCATAGCTGTATTCCCTTTATCTGTAAGTATATTAACTGATTCGTTCTGAGATCTTTTTACACATCAACATTTACACATACTTGTGTTTGCATTCATCCAAACTCGAAAAATCTCAGTAATCATTATGTTCGCAAAATAGCCACAATGTCAGTATCTGAGGTGATATCAGACGGTTCACTTGAATGAATATTCATCCCGGTAAATGTTTCATTAATCTTTCATTCATTGTTTTTTAAAATATAATTATGTATGTCTTTACGAATGGTCACTCCAGACCCTGTGGTCCTCCACAGAGTCCCGGTTATTTGGGAGGCATACGAGGGGCCGAAGCCAACTGCGCAGAGGCCCTTTAGACAACTTCAATCTAAATGTAATGTTATTATTATTATTATTTATTTAACTTTAAATCACACAGGTAAGTATGGTATAATTTAAGCTCCACAATACCGTTGCATTGGTTTGACTGTGGGGTCGCGTGATCTCGTGTGGAGACAGTTTAATTTATGATCGTTTGATTAAATCTGAACGTTCGCTCTGTGTGCAGACAGTTCATTATTTGTTCATTCTGAGTGGGAGTGAATGATGCAGTACGTATGCCAAACTCCAACATCGTTGGATCGGTTTACTAATGAATTCATTCTGCACTTTTTTTTCATTCTGAGTTCATACATGTCAATTTGAGTAAAAGACAAAAATAACCGATAGATAGTAATATCGATGTTGTTCGTTGACATAGCTTCACTATCTTTACGTATCAAGGATAGTCTCTTAAAACAATGACTGTGGCACCTGGCTACTATAGACTTACACGCAAAATACACACACATTGATACGAAGGACATCTGTCATTTTATTAAGTCTGATAACGTGGTAATCCATTACACACGCATCCATAAATACACCACTGACATTTTGGTCCTTCAATAATGTCTAACTGATATTGTGTCTGACCATTTTTTCAAAGTCCTTGTTTCGTACATCGCATCATATCTTTATACCCAAAGAGGTCGAAGTATACATTTATAATGCCTCCTTTTCATCAATCAAGTTGTAAATCCCAAGCTCCTAAATAATTGGGAACGAGCCTTCTCTAATAATAAAAGTGACAGATCGACAGCCAGACAAATATAATATAGTTTTTATAATTTTAATAATTAATGTATAAAATACTTTTTATACAAAGACGTGCCGAGAGCCACAATTGTGGTCTCGACAAAAAATTTTTCAAAAACGATACTTTTCATCTACTGTGAATATAGTATGTGTATTTTTTACAAACACCTCTCTCCAACGAAAGAGTATTGAATGGTAAAACTAAAAAAAAACGAGAGAAAAAATTCTCCTTGTTTTTGTAAACTAAAAACTAAAAAAAAAAAAAAAAAAAATAACAAGTTTTTTCTCACGAGAAGATGATGAAATGAATGTAATAAATAGAAGTAGCCGAAATGGCGCTTGTTAGCGTCGTCCATCTTGAATTTTCGAGAGAAAAACTGAACGTTATATTTTTTTTACCGTTTCCATTACAATTTTTCTCTAACTACAGTAAACGGGTATTATTATACTTAGAGTCTAGGCAATAAATATTTTTTTCTTTTCACTTAGATTTAAAGTATTAATAAATAAATCTAATTTTTTATTTATTTTTTTTTCTACATATTTTCTCGGTTCCATAGTGTATCTTTTAACTAGACACAACCATTTTATATAACAGTATTTTATTTTATTTATTTTTTTAAATTTTACGGATTTTTTCATTCAGAATTTGGCATTGGCATTTTAAACTAACAATCTTGAGAAAAAAAAACGATAGTTGCCGTTGAAAAATCGACTTCGAAAATTCTTGGAAGTCGGTACTTTTCACTTTTTATGTATCCACCACTAAAACTAATAGATAATTTGAAAATGTGCGTAAGAGAAAGAATAGTTTTCTCGATGTTTTGTTTATATATAGTCGAATTGCCGACTTTCAACTCGTTAAGACGACTTCAGACTCACAACATCAAGAGCCGCAGTCGACTTTCGCCTCAAGCTCTCTACTTGTCGATTTCCGACTTCAACATTCTAAAAACCTCCGATTATTCCGACTTTTAAATCGGAAAAGTCGTAAAGCCGACTTTTCTAGCCATTCTCAAAAAAGTTACGTACTACCCAACCTACCAATCGGCATAAAAAAGTTTTTTTTTTCTTATAAAATCGTCTCACTCGGCTGTTAATTTTTTTACTAAACATATATCCAAAAATCTAATTATTACTTTTTCCACAATAAGTTATTATTTAGTTTCTTTTTCTTAAATATTTTCTTCAATATTTGTGCTGTCTGATGGTAGAGCGTTTAAAAAAAAGGTTCTTTTTTTTTGCTTATTTTTAATTCAATTTTTTCGTTCGCAACCCCTTATTGGCCCGCGTGGTGATTCGTCTTATAACCTAACTTACAATTTAGACTTATGTATTATTTCTATATGTTTTCTAAAAAGTATTTCTTATTCGCTTTGCACTCATAAGAAGCAAAAAGTGTAATCTTTCGATATATTTTGACTCACATTTTTCAAAATTTTTATCATTATTTCATCCCTTTTTATGGATAATGCTCTTAATCGTTTAATGCGATAACGCTCCTGTTGTTTTATTTCTTTATATCCTCATTTCAATTTAAAATATAACATTTATTTATAACACAAATAAATAAATAATTTTTAAATAAAATAAAATGTCATTAATTGACTAGAATTGATACGGAATCTTCGGTTCTAGGTTTGAAGTTAAAATAAAGTTTAATATTCGAGTATGTTACCTTAAAATGATACTTAAATTTTAATTTAAGAAGTGACCAACCTCTGTTGTTAAGAGACAACAAAATATTACAACTTATTCTTATTTTTAACAATAAATAACATAACATTTTTTTAATTTTAGTTTAAACTAAAACTAACAAAAAATCTTTGTCTTAAATATGACTAGAATACGGTAACAACAATTTAAATATTTCTTTAAGAAACATTTTGTAATTTCCAAAAACGATTTTTTAAACTTTTAAAATTAACAAAAAAATCACATTTTTAAATATCGAGTCCAACATTTTACATGAAAGTAATTACACAAAATTAAGACAACCATTTTAAAATAAAAAAATACATCAGTATCATGCGACTACACTCATTAAAATAAACTCATATTTATAAAATCACAAGATAATTAAATACAATATAATAATAATTAAAATTCACAGAATTTACAGAATAAAGCAAAAACATAATTACAACCCCAAAGTCATTCACAAAACAAAAAATTAGACAGACTCAAAAAATTTGAGAAATAGACTCAAAAAATTAGAGGAACAGACTCAATAAATTTGAGAAACAGACTCAAAAAATTAGAGAGACTAATTAAACGTAGGATGAGTGAGTTATGTCCAGTCTTTATGCACACAACAACAGGTTCCTATTGACTGATGGTTTCGACCTCACACAAGGAGGCTTGGAGCAAGCCACTCGTCTTCACCGATCTGGAAAAAATAAAGTAAAATTAATTATCCTGACTGCTTCGCTGGCCGAGTGGTCGCAAGTGCAACAGCCGGGCAAGGGGTCTCGGGTTTGATTCCCGGGTCGGGCGAAGTATTACTGGGTTTTTACAAATTCTCAGCAATAGCACGGAGTCTGGAATTGTGCCCGGTATATGGCAATAGGCTCACCCTATTACATGGGACTCATAACATAAATAGTGAAAATTGGGTGTTACATTGTACAGTGGTATAATGTACACCTCTGCCTACCCCTTCGGGGATAATAGGCGTGATGTTATGTATTCTAATGAATTATGGTAGTGAGATGTGCATAAGAGAAAGATTATTTTTTCGATGTTTTTTTTTATATATACCGTCGAATTGCCGACTTTCAACTCGTTAAGACGACTTCAGAATTTAAATGTTAAGCGTGGGAAAGTTATGCTAATTGTAGGATAGCTATGCTTCGGCACCTATGGGCTTGCTCGACTGGAGTAATACCACAGCCTTATCAAAAATGTTTGAGTTGCGTTTCGCCATGTGAATGAGGTTACCGGAGGCCAAGTAAGCGTGGGAGAGCCATGCTTCGGCACGAATGGGTCGGCTCGACCGGAGCGTAGCCCAATTATCCCCACCCCCCACTCTCCACTTCCTGAATCCCGAGAATAAATCAAATGCCTAATCTCAATGAGGCCGGTAACGCACTTGTAACGCCTCTGGTGTTCCAGGTGTCCATGGGCGACGCCGATTGCTTACCATCAGGTGATCCGTCTGCTCGTTTACCGGCTTACTTCATAAAGAAAAAAATGACAAATCTTCCTCCCAATTCTCAAATCCATCAGGGATTTGAGAATTGGCAGGCAATTCCTTTTTTGTGGCGCGTATCTTTGTATTGTAGCTTTTCTGGTGTTGCAGCCACCCATAAGCAGCACCAATTGCTTACCATCAGGTGATCCATCTATTCGTCCCCCCAAACCCGTAAAAAACCCTTTTAAACTTACCGGTTGAACTTGGAAATGTTGCACAGGGTAATGCAAGACCTGTGGGGGCTGGGACATAGCGGCGACCCCACCAACTGACCCCACGCCTCCCACTCCGGCCCCCAAGGCCCATGGTAGCTGGACACCCCCCATGCTGGAACAGGCATTCGTATTAGCCCACTGGTTGTACTCCTTGCTGAAATAACAAAAATTTACGGGACTTTAGTCCCCCTCATCCCCAAGAAGGAGGGACTTTAGTTTTATCGGATTTATGATGTACACTTGCATATTAATAATATATATTAAAGTTATATAGCTGTGGAAGGCACATGGTAGCTGGAACGAGCCACATTTTGGAACGAGCGCCTAGCTTCACTGACGGATAGACTGACAGACTATTATAGGTATATTTCATATTTGTTGACGTTTCAAAAGTACCAAATTATGGTTTAAACTGTCAAACACCGCGCGGTCACCGGTGACCGCAACCTATTGTTCTATAATTGTGTCTATATTGACGGTACTCGACGAGTTAATTGAAATAAATGCTTTTGAGTTTGAGTTTGAGTCTGGTCTATGTAAAATTCAAGCATTCAAATAACTCAGGTTAAGTCCGAATCAATTTTTTAGTAAGAAATTAAAGCTGTCTCGTTGGCCGCGTGTCACAAGTGCGACTGCCGGGGAAGGGGTCTCGGATTCCCGGGTCGGGCAAAGTATTACTGGTTTTTTTTTAATCTCAGTAGTAACACGGAGCCTGGAATAGGGATGATGACAGAGTATGAAAATTAAAAATGTAATTAGTCCATAAGTTAGGTAATGAAAAAATATTAGACACGTATTATTTATTTTGTCGTTTTTTTTATGGAATAGAAGGCAAACGAGCAGACGGATCACCTGATGGTAAGCGATCAGCGCCGCCCATGGACACCCGCAACACCAGAGGAGTCACAGGTACGTTGGCCTTTTAAAAAGGAATACGCTGGACTTTTCTGATATTTTCTCATTATCGAACTGACGGACTAATTAGTATTTTAATGTTTATACACAGTCATCGTCCCAATTCCATAATAGGTACCTAAGATTTCTAAAAACTTCGAAAAATATACTTTTTACCTATAAATCGACATCTTGACTCAGTAATTTAACTTTTAAACTGTCAAACACCAAGCGGTCACCGGTGACCGCAACCTATTGTTCTTTAATTGTGTCTATTTTGACGGTGCTCGACGAGTTAAATAATTCTATTTCGTAAAATAAATAGAAAAAGCCAATAACTTATTTTATATTCGTCTCATAATAAATAACATACCCCATATACTGCTGCTGGTAGCCCGCGAACGCCTGTCCAGCGTAGGTGTATCCCTGCACCCCCTGCACGCCTTGGAGGAATCCTCCCAGCTGCTGCGGATAGGTGTTGTACCAATATGAGGTTGGGGGAACACCGCCTGTGTAGGTCGCGCCGAATGGGCTGTAGGCTGTGGGGATCTGAAATGGGGGAGAAGAGGAATTAGATATGTTATGCCTGTTGATACTCGAAGGAGTAGTAAATAACATAAGATAACATCACGCCTTTTATCCCCGAAGGGGTAGACAGAGGTGCACATTATGCCACTGTACAATGTAACACCCACCTTTCACAATTTATGTTATGAGCCCCATGTAATAGGGGGTGAGCCTATTGCTATATACCGGGCACAATTCCAGACTCCGTGCTACTACTGAGATTTTTAAAAACTCAGTAATACTTTGCCCGACCCGGGAATCGAACCCGAGACCCCTTGCCCGGCAGTCGCACTTGCGACCACTCGGCTAATGAGGCAGTGTAAATGTTTTTAAATAATCTACCAGACGGACGGGCCTGCTACACTGCCTCGTAGGCAGAGTGCGTCTGCCAGTTGCCTGACAGTGTTAGTTACATATATAATGAAAAAATCATCAGTTTGTACGCTCTGTAATGAGCTTAAATTATTTAATTATAAACATCCTGAAGAAGTATTTAAATATTTACAGAAATCTCTTAGTAATTCTCTTAGTTAACATCGAAGTAATTTAATATATTTGAGTGAATAGAAAATGAAATTAGAAATTAACATTTAAATGTTATCTCAATTAGAATTTCAGATTTGTGAATTTTATATTGAAAGAAATTAATAATTAAAACTGACTTCCTATAGCATTATCCTTAATTATTAAAACTAATCTAATTACCAAATTTGTTATTCAAATGTACCTATAGTTTATTTTTTGTTTTTTGTTAATTTTGTTTCTGAATTGTATTAATTTTTATTTCTTGTATTTGATTTCCTAATTAGTTTGCCTTTAATTACCAAAATAATAGCATTTATATATATAAGTTTAACAGTATAACTTAATGGCGTAAGCCGTGGTGTTGTATATGTACATTTTCTAAATAAATAAATAAATATAAATAATCAAGATAGGAAAGCTATGCTTCGGCACGAATGGGCGGGCTCGACCGGAGTGATACCACGGCTGTTGGCACGGTATTCACGAAAGTGTTAGTTACATTAAGAACGTTTAGTATAGTCATTAACCGACCTCAAGGTAGTATTTTGGGTCCTACATTGTTTTTGCTATACATTAAATAAATGTCATAAACCACGAATGTGTATTATTTGCGGATGATACTACTATTGTCGGATGATACTACTAGAGAAATAAACACCGTGCTCCAGACAACTGTACAGTGGCTAGAAGGGAACAACCTAAAAGTTAATATAGATAAAACTAAATACATTCAGTTTCATACCTACAGGAATAAACCCGCCGAATTAAATGTGATGTATAAAGGTGTAGCTCTGTCAGAAGCTGAGTCAGTAAAATTTCTTGGTATTACACTAGACAAGTTCTGCTCTTGGAAGAATCAAGTGCAAGATGTTTGTGGTAAAATTAATAGTTTTGTTTATCCCTTGAGACGTATCAGCCGTGAAATATCGAGAGAGGCTGCAATGACTGCGTATCACGGATACATATCCTCCATATTGCGATATGGGGTTAGTCTTTGGGGTCGATGTAATTGAAAATTCGTAATTTTCTTTGAGATAGCAGTATAACAAAATTTTGACAAGTCTGTAAAGTACCTACATTATTTTTGCACGCAGATGTTGAAGGCAAAATAAGAGGACGTAAGTTATTAGAAAATGACAACTATCTGTACCTTATTTACGCAAATAAATAATTTTTGAATTTAAATTTTCAATTGAATTTGAATTTGAAAAAAAGAGGGGATTGAAGTCGGTTTTTTAAACCTTGTTTTACATTCAGTCAACATTGTATTTATAATTTTTTTTTAAAGACTTTGTACAAAACGAATTGCTTTTAGTCAGAAATCTATGGAGGGAGCATGTCACACATATTTGTCTGGACTTTAAAAGAGACAGACCTCTGAGTTGGTTTCGGCATTTCTTCTCAGAGTAGTCAGTTAGGAAAAGTCGGCCTCATCGTTCGCTTGATAAAATTGTCGTGTAAAAGTGCTGCCTTGTAGCCTATTTGCTGAAATAAATTCACTTGTTTCACTAGAAAATACTTCGACCTTGACTGAACGTACTTGTCCTTGAGCCTGGGCGTTGTTGGGGTCCCCTGACTCCTTGCCCCACGAGCACTTGACCGGCTGGCCATTGACGTCAGTATTGTGAACGGCCACGATAGCATGCGTCGCGCTTTCCTTGGTTGAGAATCTGGAGGCAGAGAGAGTCACTTTATAAGTATGGGAGAGCCATGTGTGAGGTTACCGGAGGCCTAATTACTACCCCCCCTTTCTTAATCCCTGAATCCACAACAATCCTCAAATTCGTAATCCCAAAAGTGTGGAAGACGGAAACGAATTAAGTGTGGGAGAGCCATGATTCGGCACGAATGGGCCGGCTCGACCGACGTGAAACAACTTGCGTTGTGTTTCGTCGTGTGAGTGAGGTTACTGGAGGCCCAATTACCACCCCCCATTCCTAATCCCTGAATCCCCAACATTCCTCAAATTCCTAATCCCAAAAGGTCAGTAACGCGCTTGCAACGCCTCTGGTGTTTCAGGTGTCCATGGGCGACGCCGATTGCTTACCATCAGGTGATTCGTCCGCTCGTTTATCGGTTTATAACATAAAAAATGTCGCGGTGGCCCGGAGGTTTAAGACGTCCGCTTCTCATGTATGAGAGTGCGGGTTCGAAACCTATCAACAGCAAGTAATAATGTGACTTCTTATGAATTATGCATATGTACTTTCTAAGACTATCAAGACACTATTGATAAATGTTGAAACTTTTTGTATATTAGTACTGAGCTTTTTTTTTTGTTTTGTTATATTTTGTTGAATGGTATTATATTTTATTTAGATTGCCAATTCGATAGAAAAAAAAAACTATAGTGGATAAAAACCTTAAAATTACAGTTTTACTTTAGTAATTAAAAAAAAAACAAAGGAAAGCTGTTTGTATTTTATTGCTCAATTATTTATAAGTAGATAGAACTACCTTTTTTTCAAGGGGGGAAATCGTCGACTGACTTCGAGGCGGGAGGGAGTGTCAGACTCTCACTGACTAAAAAACACCCCATTCCTACTCCTGCACTTCGAGCCGGAGCCCCGGTAACCCGTTAGGGTTTCCGCGGCTCCGAATCGGCATCAGCCCTATTGGGGCCCATCCGTGGTTGTCTGATGACTCTTGGAGGCGCGCACGGAATGCGACGCGCCGTACGCTCGGGTCTGGTTCTGGTCGGGCGGCGAGATACCCATGCTCGCCGTCCGCAGGCCCGCGCTTATAGTGGCCGGAGATTGTAGGTAGAACTATGCTAAGGCCGTTTATCGATGCATTTGAGATGTCCTTTATAAAACAGAAGGCAGTTGACTCACCGTATGAAAGCATAACCCTTGTCCTTGAAGACACGGATCTCCTGGATAGTTCCGAAGGGCTGGAACGTCTTCTGCATCAGCTCCTCAGTGAGGCCGGTGGTCAGGCCCCCGCAGTACACCGTGCAATTGGTTGGAGAGCTCTGGTTGTAGACTTCATCGAAGGTCAACGGTTTCGAGTTTACTGCAACAGAGGAAGCCGAAGTTGAAGTCAAAATTTGAATAACGTTTTAGGGTATTAGACTATAAGTAAATTGAATAAGTTCTATATAATGATAATTTTTTTATCATACTTCATGTCTATGTGTCGTGGTTGCCCGGAGGTTTAAGACGCCCGCTTCTCATGTATGAGAGTGCGGGTTCGAAACCTACCAACGGCAAGTACCAATGTGACTTTTTCCGTGTTATATGTACTTTCTAAGATTATCTAGACACCATTGACAAATGGTGAAGGAAAACATCGTGAGGAAACCTGGGCTTATAATGTCCAATTATAAGTTTGTAATCGCCAACCCGCATTGAGCAAGCGTGGTGATTAATGCTCAAACCTTCTCCATGTGAGAAGAGGCCTTTGGTCAGCAGTGGGCATTTATAAGCAGTTGATCATGATGACGCAATTCACAAAACACTGTTTGCTAGCATCATCTTTTATTCGGGAAATTCTTCCCGGAGAATACGCTATAATAGGATAGTATCCAAGCCACTAGTGGTGCTACTGCTATCAGTAGCAGCAGTGTAATTAATTTAGTATGTCTTACAAAATTTTTAATATAAACATAGTATCCTAATTTCTTTAGGAAAATCATCGAATGACTGCTCCCGCCTGGGTGAGGCGGGAGGGAGTGTCAGACTCTTAATGACTAAAAACCACCCCGTTCCTACTCCTGCCCTTCGAGCTGGAGCCCCGGTAACCCGTTAGTTAAGTTCTCCGCGGCGCCGTATCGGCATCAGCCCTATTGGGCCCCATTCGAGGTGGTCTGATGGCTCAGTAGGGCGCGCGCGGTACGTGACGCGCCGTACGCTCGGGTCTGTTTATGGTCGGGCGGCGCTGCGGCGGCGAGCTACCCATTCTCGCTGTCCGCAGGCCCGTGCTTACGGTGGCCCGAGATCGTACATTTTAAAGGGTAGCGTCACGTAACGAGATCCCACTCCAACTCCATTTATCTAAGTATTGTAACCTTATACCAAAAAATAATTTTCCGTCTACTACCCAATCAAACAGTTCCCTACATGGTCCACAACACACTCGTGCTGCCCCTAGTATTGCAGGTGTATTTAGACTACTGTGTCTACTTACTGACAGGACAACTCTACTCTTTGAAGAAATCCACAATTGTACGCTTTGAGTGAAACAAATCTAAATAAATTATTATGATTTCGGCTTACTCACGTAATAATTTGACGAGGAACTCGACTAGTTTCAAGCCATGCTAGAGGCTCATATTCATGAGCAGCATTTCGCGACTTGCGACGCGGCGACTGTCGCGCTGCTACTGGCTTGAAACTAGTCGAGTTCCTCGTCAAATTATTACGTGAGTAAGCCGAAAACATAATAATTTATTTAGTATGTCTCACGAAAGTTACAATACAAATAAACAAAACTAAATATTTTTTTCTTTGAATCACATCTCTTGTATGGTAGGTACACATACAAAGTACTCGACCAAAATATTAAACGAATTGACCACAAATAATACGAAAAAATTCACTACAAACACACACACAAGCTAAGTATAGTGTGTGTGACATTACCTGGGTCGAATGTAACATTTTAACATCAGTTACCCGGAAAGAATTACCTACCGACCCGGATATTTGAATTCCACGTAAACATCTATAGAGCTGTTTATACGAAATGGAAAAGTTATTTAATTTACCTCGTTGAGTACCGTCATTATAGACACAATTAAAGAACAATAGGTCGCGGTCACCGGTGACCGCTCGGTGTTGCACAGTTTAAATAGTACATTAATGAAATGTGAATACATATCATTATTTTTGGGTGATAGAATTTGTTGTGGAATAAAAATGGCTGATTGACGAAACTTCTTTAATTGTGGGACTTGAGGTTATTAAGATTACATTATACTAACGGAGCGCGCGTACATTGTGTGCGGAGACAACGCGTATGCGTCGTAGCTTCTGTGATTTTTGACTGTCGGCGCGTTGGCAGCGCTGGTGCGTGGTTCTCTCGCCCCTCACCCCCGCGCAGTGGTTCGTTCAAACGCGTTTATGTTGCGTTTACGCTATTTTTTTTTATAATATAAACGTTGCATTGTATAGTGTGAACACTAGAATTTTTCCTGTGTCGTGGGTGCGTTTGCAATCATACAAGTTCACATACACATGACACGCAGACCCGAAACAACAATATGTGGATCACACAAAGAGTTGTCCGTGCGGGAATCGATCCCGGGACACGTTGCGCCCAGCCACCGTGCCAAATGGTTGAATGCCTTTTGCACGCAAAAATAACACATATTTTAACACATTTCGTGTAGAAGATTCAGCCAATTAAATTTTAACATATACAAGCCTACATAATCTTCAGTAAGAGAATGATTTTAACATTGCAACATAAGCCTGCCCTATCTTGCAAAAACAGAATATTTAACGAGACAGTTGAACATCAACGGTGTATTTAACAACTCTATATAGATCCACCGGTATTACCGGCTAGATCAAAGAATACAGTTTAATTTTAAACCTTAGTTAAATATTTTCTTTTAACTTATGGCCGAGTGGTCGCAAGTGCGACTCGGCAAGGGGTATCGGGTTTGATTCCCGGGTCGGGCAAAGTGTTACTGGGTTTAAAAAAATCTCAGTAGTAGCACGGAGTCTGGAATTGTGCCCGGTATATGGCAATAAGCTCACCCCCTGTTACATGGGACTCATAACATATATAGTGAAAAGTGGGTATTACTTCTGTGTGCACCTCTGTCTACCTCTTCGGGGATAAAAGGCGTGATGTTATATTATATTTTCACAATACAATTCTTGGTCACATTACAATAATCGTGGAAGCGGCCGGTTCTCTCGGTGATACCACGGCCTCACAGAAAACCAACGTGAAACAACGCTTGCGTTGTGTTTCGTCGTGTGAGTGAGGTTACCGGAGGCCCAATTACCCCCTTCTGCAAATTCCTGAATCCCTAACAATCCTCTAATTCCTGATCCCCAAAAGGGCGATAACGCACTTGGAACATCAGAGGTGTTAGAGAGTGTCTATGGGCCGCGCCAATTTTTTTTATTTATTTTTTTATTAAAAATGCGTTGCCTCACATTAGGATTTTCTCCTGTGTCGTGGGTGCGTTTACAAACATACAAGTTCACATACACAATGACACCCAGATCCGAAACAACAATTTGTGAATCACACAAAGTGTTGTTCCGTGCGGGAATCGAACCCGCGACACGTTGCACGGCAGCCGGTTGTCCAGCCACCGCACCAACCGTGCAGTCGTTTATTTACTATAAGGTATCTACTAGGTAGGACCATCTTGCAATTGCTTACCATCAGGTGATCCGTCAGCTCCTGTACCGGCTTATCCCACAAAAAATCCCAGTTACCTTGTTTCGCAGTAACACTTACAACCACTGAATTAACGACGTAACATAACATAACATCACGCCTTTTATCCCCGAAGTGGTAGGTACAGGTGTACATTATGCCACTGTACAATGTAACACCCACTTTTCACTATTTATGTTACGAGTCCCATGTAATAGGGGGTGAACCTATTGCCATATACCGGGCACAATTCCAGACTCCGTGCTACTACTGAGTATTTGTTAAAAACCGAGTAATACTTTGCCCGACCCGGGAATCGAACCCGAGACTATGCCCGGCAGTCGCACTTACGACCACTCGGCCAACGAGGCAGCAATCAACGACATCTTTTGTTTTAATCATAATCTTTTACAAAAACATTAAGAACAAAGTTGGCAACGAAAAAATATTTTCAGTCTTAATCCTTTTCAGTCGACAACTGAAGGATTCAGCTAAAATGTTAATCTTAGACAGGGATCAGAAATGCTTGCGGTTTTAAGTAAGGATTAAGTTATAAGTACTTATATTTTAGCCTTAACGCTCGGGGCTAAGTTACTTTGAACAACTCTTCTTAAAGTAAGTAAGACTGTTTTATACATACATACATAACTTCACGCCTGTCTCCCATGGGGGTAGGCAGAGACTATGGAACGCCAATTGGGATCATGACAGGGTATGAAAATTAAAAATCTAATTACTCCGTAAGTTAGATAACGAAAAAATATTAGACACGCATTTTTTATTTTGTCGTATAATAAAACAATACTTAAATAAAACGAATCAAAGTTTAGGAGTGAGGGCTAAAACGTCATTTCTACGTATAAAACGTACATAGAAGTGACGTCACGCGACATTTCAAATCAATATATCGTCGAAAGTATTCGTTCTTGTAAGAAAATAAAAAATACGTGTCTAATGATTTGAAATAATCTACCAGACGGACATTAAAATAAAAATTAGGCATCTACCCCATTGCTACGATTCCTACACACCTCTTTCGCTTCATCAACAGTCATCAATCTGTTCATGCATGCTCGTAAGTTAAGGCTACTTTTAATTTGGCCCTTCTTTAATATATCGCCAATCTGGTCACTATATGTCAGTATAGTACTGTTTTTAACCCTGTATAATAGTCAAAATTTTCAAAAGAAAAATTCATGATTAAATTCGGCTCGACCGGAGTGATACAGTTAAGCAGAAAACCGAAGTGAAATAACGCCTGGTGGCCTGGAGGTGACCCAAAGTCCAATTACCACTTATTCCTAATTTACTCAATCCCTGAATCTCAAACAATCCTTAAATTTCTAATCCCCAAAAGGCCGATAACACACTTGTAACGCCTCTGCTGTTTCAAGTGTCCATGGGCGGCGATGATTGCTTACCATCAGGTGATCCGTCTGCTCGTTTACCTCATAATATTATGATATTGTAGGTACTTACACTCATTCTTCGGCGCTGGTGGTTTGCGCGTAGCCCAGTTGGTGCGGATCGACCGGGACCCGAGCCACTGGCCGTTCATTGATGTTATGGCTGATTCAGCCTCCTGTAACAAACAAATAGAATAATGAATTAGACATTGTCAGTAGTGAAACGGAAAATATACCCAATTTGGAGACGTGGTGGGCCGGAGGTTCTACTAACGGCAACTACGAAATAAGAAGAAAGAAAGGAAAGAATAAAGAAAAACCATTTATTCTTGCGAATCTTTCTTAAAATAAAATAAAATATAAGCTAAAAAATGAAGTCTTGTCCATGGTCCACAGACAGAGTTATCATGATGGACCATAGACAAAGAACACCCTTCCTACATAGTTACATTCCTAATAACATAGTTCATAAAATTGGCTAAAGGAATATATTTATAAGTTTAACTATAATAAAACAATACAAAGCCATAATAGATACTATTAGGTTAGGTATATATGTTACTGTAAAAGCTCGAACTACGGTAAATCTTAAGATTTAAGTGTAAGTCTTAGGATTTACCGACATGAGTTGGTAAATGTAAGTATTTCTGAAGATACGACGATTTTTTCGAGCTTTTACTATTCGAAATCAGTATATGCTAGGTTTTACCATTGTCAGCTGGTAGATGTTGGTTTTAGAAATAAAACAATGAGTAATTCTTAATTATTTACTTTGAACTATTAGACAAAACAGGTGCATAGTATTATAAATATATCATAATGATAGTAACCAGTACAAACACATCATCTAACTGAATCAGTACTTCTCTATTTGGAATTTAACAACGAAAGACAAACATAATGCTCATAAAAGCTAGTCTAACTTAATTATTATTTTTCTTATTATTTGGTTTAGAAGTAAAAAAACACAATCAAATGTAATTGATTAATAGGTTCCTAAAAAACAATTTACTTGTTACAATACGGATTGCTGTTGTGGCATTTAGAATTACAAAGTAATCGTGACGGCGGCAAGCTACAAGTCGATGCGCTGAGCACGTTATGACATGTTTTGTTTTTCAACATTTACCATGCCATTGATGTAAGATTTACCAACGGAATGGTGGTAAAAGTTCGAATCGATAAACTTTTTGGACATTTACCATTAGGAATTGGTATATCTTAGGTTTTACTGGAATATCTTAGGATTTACTGCAGTTCGAGCTTTTACAGTAACAGGTTGCGGTCACCGGTGACCGCTCGGTGTTTGACAGTTTAATGCTCAAACCTCCGTGAGAGGGCTTTGGTCAGCTGTGCTGTTGATGTATGTGATTTGCTTATGGTAGAAAGCAATATAATTATTTATTTAGTTTCTTTTAAAATTTTAGTTCAATCCTTGGCTATCTTATTTTGGATTATATTAGATTAAGAGCCGATTTTTCAATACTTAGATAAATTTTAACATTGAAAAAGAACTTTGAATAATTGACAATTCTTCCATACTTCATTCTTTTGATGATAAGTTTTAATAAATTCTTTTAAAATGTATATTTGCGTGCCAATTAAGGTAGAATGTACACACGGCTACATCGAGCTTTACATAACCAGTATAAACTGAACGTTAAATGTGCGGAAAGATGATGCGACGCGACACCAGGATAAACTGGTTTTGTATAGATTGATGTGTGGCCGCGTGTACAAGGAACCTTAACATTTTGTTACACCTAATAATTTGTACCTATATTCGTAACAAATAAATAATCTATTCTATTTTGTTTGTTCCAATTGTGAGTTCACCTTAAATAGATTTTTGTTTATGGGAAAATTGTATTTATGTTTAATAATAGGGTAGACGACTAATTTTTATTTTAATGTCCGTCTGGTAGATTATTTAAAAACATTACACACGTATTTTTTATTTTCTTACGGAAACGAATAGTTTCGAAGATATATTGATTTGAAATGTCGCGTGACGTCACTTCTCAGTACATTTTATACTAAGAAATGACGTTTTAGCCCCCACTCCTAAACTTTGATTCGTTTTATCTAAGTATTGTTTTATTATACAACAAAATAAAAAAAATACGTGTCTAATATTTTTTTATTACCTAAGTTACGGACTAATTATATTTTTAATTTTCATACCCTGTCATCCCCATTTAAACTTAGGCTAACAACTATTCTCTTGTGTATGATGTGTTAGCCTCCAATTGATTGTAACACTAGCCAATGCATATTGTAAATCGATTTGTTCTAATATGATGTGTAAACAGTAGTTGGCTAAAAAAGAATACTAATAACTGTCAATACAATTGGGTGCATTTCTTAACACGTTCGAGGACAGAACGAGATTATACGTCATCGTTCGAGATGTTAATTCGGCACAACGTACGATGACGTTCAAATAACATTTAAATTATACGGCAGAACGTTCATTTCCGATGAAAGTTCAAGTAAAAATCCTTTTGAATGTATCTTGTGTCACAACACATAAAATACCCAACACTGTACTGTCACGTAGGGTAAGTTTAGAACTATTTCAAATAAGTGCCATTGATAGTGTGCGGTTACGGTATTCACATATGCACAACGTATTTATACGTCCCGCGCTCCTACATTCAACGCGGCTGTGTCACTGTGTATTATGTGTTTAATGCAAATTAATGATTTTACAATGTCAAATTGATGTTTAATAGGTTATTGTATGTTTTAGACGGATATAAGCGCAAATAAGGCATATGATAAGCATGTTTGATGATTCCGACACCTCCAACGAGGCATATCATTACCAAGATACATATACACGTTGACGTGATAAAACGGTTGTGTCATGATATGTTTGAAACAATATTTTTGCATGGGACACTACGTACTGATACGTCGTATAATTTTGTATAGACATTTACTGTGTCATTCTGGAAACCCGACTCAAGTGGTAGCGTCCTCGAACGTGTTAATCAAAAATAAACCATTTCGCCTGTTCAATACAATAAAATATTTTAAAATAATCACACTTTCAATAATTGATTTTATGACCAACTCAATTTTAATATTATTTCAGCATTTCTTGAAGATATAAATATGTTGTTTGACGCTAAAAAACGTGACGTCACAATACACAATCTCGTACAAAATTCATAGAAAACTGTCGTTTTTGACAGTTCGAAAAAAGTATTGAATTTGACTAGTTGGCAAGTACCCGATTCTAGTCGCGGAGAACCTAACGGGTAACCGGGGCTCCGGCTCGACGTGCAGGAGAAGGATACTTGTAACTCCTCTCACTCCTCTGGTGTTCCAGGTGTCCGTGGGCGACGCCGATTGCTTACCATCAGGTGATTCGTATGCTCGTTTACCGGCTTATGCCATAAAAAAAAACATTATATTGCACATAGTGAAAATAAATATAGGTATACACATCTCTACCTATCCCCTTTTCAAACCATTGTACCATGGAATATCCCCTCAACAATTATGTGTGAATCGTTCAAGTTTTCTAGGAAAAAACATCGACACTCACTAATCGATAAAGTACATTAAAACTTAATAGATATTGCAACGTTTGTTTCCCACAGACAACTTGTCTATATTAACAATCATTATACTACTTTGACGTTTAAAACTACTTTATTTTTTATGGAACAAGCCAGTAAACGAACAGACGGTTTCAAGTGTGGGAGAGCCATGCTTCGGCACGAATGGGCCGGCTCGACCGGAGTGATACCACGGCCTCACAGAAAACCGACGTGAAGCAACGCTTGCGGTGTGTTTCGTCGTGTGAGTGAGATTACCATAGGCCCAATTATACGTATCCTCCCCTTCCCCAATCTCCCCAATCCCTGAATCCCCAACGATCCTCAAACTCCTAATCTCCAGAAGGCCGGTAACGAACTTGTAACGCAAAGGTGTTCCAGGTGTCCATGGGCGGCGCCGATTGCTTACCATCAGGTGATCCGTCTGCTCGTTTACCGGCTTATGCAATAAAAAAAGACGGTATTTCCGAACCCATATTACCTTCAAACATTGAAAGAAAAGAGCGTATTCCTTTTTAAAAGGCCTGCAACACACCTGTGACTCCTCTGGTGTTGCGGGCGTCCATGGGCGCTGATCGATTACTATCAGGTGATCCGTATACTCGTTTGCCCCGTATTCCATAAAAAAAGGATGGATCACCTGATCCTGAAGCCTGTCGTCCGTGGACACCCGAAATCACAGAGGTGTTACAAATGCGTTATCTAGTTTTTGGGGATTAGAAGATTGGGAGATTGGGGAGAGGGGATAATTGGGTCTCCGGTAACCGCTTTGAGCCATTCTAAGTGTGGGAGAGCTATGCTTCGGCACAAATGGGCTGGCTCGACCGAAGTGATACCACGGCCGAGCAGTAAACTATAGTGAAACAACCACAGCGTTATGTTTCGTCGTGTGAATACCTTGGCCTTTAGCCAAACGCCACTTTAGCGCTTGTCTACAGAGAGAGTAGAAAACTAAATGTATGGGGATGACACTGACAAGTGTCAAAATTTACGTCAATCCCATATAATTTGGTTTTCTATACTACATGTAGACAAGCGCTAAGTGGCATTTGGCTACAGTTGCTTAGCATGTCAATCTTTTACGAATTATCTACTACTACTAGAATAGAAAGCACAGAAAATAATATCATCATCATCATCATCAACAGCTTATAAATGCCCACTGCTGAGCAAAGCCTCTTCACACACGAAAAAGGTTTGAGCATTAACCACCACGCTTGCTCAATGTGGGTTAGCGATTTCAACAACTCATAATTAGAAATTATAAGCCCAGGTTACCTCACGATGTTTTTCATCACCGTTTGTCAGTGGTGTCTAGATAATCTTACATGAGACGTGTGTAGACATTGATACACAAACGCTTATTTCGGCGGGCAAAGCCGTCGGTAATTTAAAAGCTAGTAATAATATAAAACAGGTACAAATATGTACAGCATATGCATCCCCATCATATAGATGGTTGGCAGGCCACAACTGTGCGCTTCTCACGTAGCTTTCTGCCTCGCACAGCAAAACTGTGGAATGATCTGTCGTCGGCGGTATTTCCGAACCGATACGACCTTCAAACCTTCAAGAAAAGAGCGTATTCCTTTTTAACCGACTTCAAAAAAGGAGGAGTTTCTCAATTCGGCCGTACGTCATACGTACTTATCTTCTTATAGCTTACACATGCATTGATAGGTTGGGAGTCGGTGGCACAAACCCATACCAAAATATAAAGTAGTTAATGGTCACAGCTGGTATAATCCATAATGAAATTGTAAACAGTTTAATAATGTTAGGTATCTATTAAGGTTTTAATGAATTATTTTGTTTAAAACTTGTGGCACCGAGTTCTAACCTATCAGTGGGTGTGTAAGCTATAAGTACGTATGACCAATAATGAAAGTAAATTTAAAACATATATTAAGCGCGAATTATGTAATCAAGCTTACTACACACTGACAGATTATCTTGAAGATAAGAATGCTTGGCAGCATGTTGGTTCGGCTCCACTGGACAATAGTCAAATGTAGTCAGTAGTTAAATTCCAATAGTAGGTAATATAATACATAATTTAATACTTTAATTCTAATGTAGACAATCTAGTTTCCTTATGGCATCGAGCATTTCTTTCTTTATTGAAACAAAGAGTTTCCTTTTTCTTGTATAGAAGCACTATTTCTATGGATTGTCAGTATGCATATGTGAGCACCATGTTGGACTTAAGATCTTTATTATTTTTATTTTTATTTTAGTAAGTTAGTAGTATAATGCGTCAAGCGTGTCTTTGCATTGTTCTTACATATGCGTACAGTATTGAAATATGTATCAGAGACATTGTAGAACATACTTTTTTAAAAGAGTAACGAATGGAGTTTCTTGCTCGTTCTTCTCCATTCGAATCTACGTTTTGGAATGAGCACCTAGCTTCACCTAGCTTCACTGACGGACTGACTGACAGACTATTATTTATTTTGTATTTGTTGACGTTTCAAAAGTACCAAACTATGGTTTAATTGAAATAAATGCTTTGACTTTGACTTTGACTTGGACTTTAGGTATTTTTACCTTTTTAGTTTTCGGTTGTCATTAGTTTTTGAAGTTGGTTTTTTAAACGATTTTTTTTATTTTTTAAAAGTCCAGCAACGCATCTGTGACTCCTCTGGTGTTGCGGGTGTCCATGGGCGGCGCTGATCGCTTACCATCAGGTAATCTATCTGCTCGTTTGCCTGCTATTCAGTAGACAAAAACTTACCGATTTTTTCAAAAATGACACGAATCCGTATCCTTTTGACTTCAGAGTCTGTGGGTCGCGGACTACGCGACAGTCACTGTGAACAAAATATAAAATCACATTAAAACATAACAATATTTAACATTACATCAATCTTGACGAATGAACAAGTAGTCTCGGGTTCAATCACCAGAGGGCGTACTCTATAGGGCGGGAGGAAACACCCGGGTGTCATCACTGTGAGGACCGCCCTGAGGACACGGTGGATCACACCGTAGAGGAAGGCCCTGCGTAGGCTGAGCACCGCCGTGTCCTCGGGGATGTGATCAGCGACGGCGACCTCTCACGTCCGGCCCTCGTGCGGGTCATGATGCGCAGCGAGGAGGACTGGGATGCCGTCTACTCCTTTTGCGAAGCAGTCATGCTAGCTAAGGAGGAGACAAGGCGCATGAGGCAGCGAAGCGCTGTGCTGCCTCCTCACAACCCAGCCATCGCGAAAGACACCCTGGGTGTCGGGGACCAGAACTAGACCAGAGCGTACGCCGCAAAACAAACTATAATATTTTTTCATTACCTAACTGGCGGACTAATTAAATTTTTCATTTTCATACGAATTCCACAGCCTAATAATGTGCAGTTAAACTCACTTCTCTGACTGCCTCGTTGGCCGAGTGGTCGCAAGTGCGACTGCCGGGCAAGGGGCTCGGGTTCGATTCCCGGGACGGACAAAGTACTACTGGGTTTTTAAAAAATTCTCAGTGGTAGCACGGAGTCTGGAATTATGCCCGGTATATGGCAATAGGTTCACCCCCTATTACATGGGACTCATAACATAAATAGTGAAAAGTGGGTGTTACATTGGCCAGTAGTATTAAGTGCCGTAATGTGCACCTCTGCCTACCCCTTCGAGGATAAAAGGCGTGATGTTATGTTATGTTATATTATGTTTAAACTCACCATACAACTAAATAACGATAATTAATTCGTATTCAATAAAATGAGATTGGCAATCAGAGATTCGACATATTTATATGTTCATATAGACAAACCTAAGCATACAATAGGGACGGACTGACATACATACAAACCGAACACGAGATATAAAAGATAAAAGATGTGCCAGCGACTCAAGATGAACGTAAACTAACATTTTTTGGCTTTTTGACAAATATCAAGTATGTCAGCGGGGTTGCACATATAGCGGTTGCATGAGCGGAGCGGCGAGCGGACCGAATTACTCCTACTGAAGCAAAAAGATAAGGTATGTTGTGTATCCTGGCGGCCAGGAGGTTTACACTCGCTACTAATGCATTAGGATGTTCAAAATCTATAAACGGCAAGTACCAACGTAACATTTTCCGAGTTACATGTACTTTCTAAGATTATCTAGAGACACCACTGACAAACGATGAAGGAAAAGATCGTGAGGAAACGTGAACTTATAAGTTTGTGAGCAAGCGTGGTGATTGATACTCAAACCTTCTCCGTGTGAGAATAGTCATCAGACCACCACAGATGAGGCTCAGTTGGGCTGATGCCTGATGCGGAGCCGCGGAGAACTCAACGGGTTACCGGAGCTCCGGTTCAAAGAACAGGAGTAGGAATGGGGTGGTTTTTAGTCAGTAATGACACTCCCTCTCGCTTCACACAAGACGAGATAAGTTTTTGGATCATTTTATCCCTTAAAATGGTTTATTGTCGACGCGTCTATTGCCGAATGAAGGCAACCTATAAAGTTAAAGTCTAAATCATTTAATTAAATTAGACCACAAAGTCACTTTTGAACGGCAACAAAAAATTCAAAGTGAAGCTATTTGCTCATTCCAAGGTGTAGATTCATATGAAGAAAATCGAGCAAGAAACTCTATAGGTTACTCCTTTTCGATCTGGTTCACAATACAATTTTTTAGTTTTGTTTCGTCAAGGTTGGTTGGCCTTTCTTCATGTGTCATTACAGTCTATTAAGGAACTACATATTAGACAGAGCTGAAGCATTCGTTTCTCATAAATATGAATGCTTTAAACTGCGCCTTCCAACCTGCTTGCCAGACGTGGATATTATGCCAAACCCTTCTATGGTCTTGCAGTCCATCGGTAAACTGCCAAAGAGTTAATCATTACCTTATAATTTTTTTTATGGTATAAGCCGGTAAACGAGCAGACGGATCACCTGATGGTAAGCAATAGGCGTCGCCCATGGACACCTGGAATACGAGAGGCATTACAATCGCGTTACGGGCCTTTTGGGGATTACAAATTTGAGTATTCTGCGGTTTAGAGATTGGGGTGGTTGGTAATTGGGCCTCCGGTTTTTTGTGAGTCGATTTGGCCCATTTGTGCCGGAGCTCTCCCACACATAAATAAGATTACATTCGATTTCTTTGATAATTTTGTTGCCACTGCCTTTTGCATATTATACAAATCGCTATTCATACGCGTAGCGTTACACTCCCCGCTCACAGTGAAGCCAGACTAAGTTGGCGTGTCTCCAAGGAGCATTCAAGCACAGAATCTACATGGTCTGACATATTTTAAGTACTCCACTAGGTATTGGAATCTATGTCAGGAAGTATCTCTGTTTTGTCTTTATCCCTAACTAGCTACTTCTGCGCGGTTTCACACGCTTTGCTCAGCTCCTATTGGTCGTAGCGTGAGGTTTTATAGCCTATAGCCATCCTCGATAAATGCGCTATCCAACACAAAAATAATTATTCCAATCAGACTTGTAGTTACGGAGATTAGTGCGTTCAAACAAACAAACAAAAAAAAACAAACTCTTCCGCTTTATATAATAGTATAAGATATTTAGTGTGGGAGAGCCATGCTTCGGCACGAATGGGCCGGAAAACGACGTGAAACAACGCTTGCGATGTGTTTCGTCGTGTGAGTGAGGTTACCGGAGGCCCAATTACCCCTCCCTTTCCCCAATCTGCCTAATCTCTGTATCTCCAACGATCCTCAAACCCCTAATCCTCATAAGGCCGGTAACGCACTTGTAACGCCTTGTGTTCCAGGTGTCTATGGGCGACGCCGACTGCTTACCATCAGGTGATCCGTCTGCTCGTTTACCGGCTTATGCCATAAAAAAATTCCACGCTAGGATTGGAAGTCAGATTGATATTTTTTTGTTGTAAACGTTGCCCCACACTAGGATTTTCTCCTATGTCGTGGGTGAGTTTACAAACATACAAGTTCACATACACATGACACCCAGACCCGGAACAACAATCTGTGGATCACACAAAGTGTTGTTTCGTGCAGGAATCGAATATGCTACACGTTGCGTGGCAGCCAGTTGTCCGGCCACCGTACTTACGATACTAATCGTGCAGTCCGGTCGAGCCGACACACTAGTGCCGAAGTATGGCTTGCCTTGGTGAATTAAGATCTAATATTAACTAAAATAACATAACATAACATCACGCCTTTTATCCCCGAAGAGGTGCACATTATGCTACTGTACAATGTAACACCCACTTTTCACTATTTATGTTATGAGTCCCATGTAATAGGGGGTGAGCCTATTGCCATATACCGGGCACAATTCCAGACTCCGCGCTACTACTGAGATTTTTTTAAAACCCAGTAATACTTTGCCCGACCCGGGAATCGAACCCGAGACCCCTTGCCCGGCAGTCGCACTTGCGACCACTCGGCCAACGAGGCAGTCAAATAACTAAAATATTATTTAACTAAATATTAACTAAAATTACTTACGAAATCTCTCCAAACGGCGCGAAGGCATCCCGCAGGCTCTGTGTCTCGATTTCAGGACTAAGGTCTCCCACGAAAATGTGGTAGTGCTCTGAAACAATATTATATACTGTAAGTTTATAGTAGTAGTAATTTTGTATGTCTCACAAAAGTTATAATATACTAGCGGACCCGCCAGACGTGGTCCTGCAAATAATATAATAATAATAATATAATAATAGGTATAGATATATAACCTAGGAACCGACAGCAGCGCCATCTGCCGGGCTGATTTGTGAATCTAAACCATCCAGGGCGCCACCCAAACGCATACAAAAAAATTGTTTAAATCGGTCAAGCCGTTTAGGAGGAGTTCAATGACTAACACACGTACAGCAGAATTATATATATGTCGCAGAATCAACAAAGATGCACTGACAGCTATCGAGTATAGTTATTTTAGAACAACGCCATCTGTTATCATTTGTCGGAAACGTCAAGCAGTGTGCTTGGGTGATGGTCGGTACGGGACTTTTGAGTTGGACACGAGGGTGAGCGGTTGTTCTGCCAGCTCGTACCGAACTTACCGCGTTTTCCGAAGTACCCCCAATGGGTGCATTTTCTCCGACATATAAAAAAAGATAACCATCATTCGAATTCAAAAAAACCTTAGGGCTCGTACACATCACTGCGATGCGATGCGATGCGAATTCGCAACACAAAAAATTCCGATGTGAATTGATGCGATGCGATTTAGTGCAACATGGCGTCTCCCAGGGTGACCATTCCTTCTACAACCGTCAATCGTACTAAACGTTTTTTAAATTGAGAACTAGGTCGTGACATGGATCGTAAAAAGAAGTGTGCACTTCTGTTAGTTTAGGCAATACAGGAAAAAGAAACAGAAGAAGATTTTGCGAAGATAAGATTTTGATGCGCGATGCGAATCAATTCGCAAGTTCTTGCGATGCGTAGAGGGAGTTCGCACATTTTTGCGATGCGACATCGCATCGCAGTGTACGAGCCGTTGTTGTAACATTCTTACTTGCAAGCACTCTGATACAATACATATATATTGCTTCTTTAAATACTTTCCCACGGGACCTTTTTTATTTCTAATTCCTATACAATAAGTGTCATTATACTCTGGAACGCGCTCCCGCTCAATATCAAATAAGTTCCCAGTAAAATCTCCTTTAAACACCAAGTTCACGAATTTTATTTAAAATCGCTGCAACGCTAGGTCATCGTCGATATATATTTAAGTATGTATATATACCTATATATTTTTAAGGGGGAAAAAATCATCGAATGACTTCTCCCGCCCGGGTGAGGCTGGAGGGAGTGTCAGACTCTTACTGACTAAAAACCCGTTCCTACTCCTGCTCTTCGAGCCGGAGCTCCGGCAACCCGTTAGGTTCTCCGCGACATATTTTATGCTATAATATATGTACTATTTATTATTAAATTATTTGTCATACAGACAATTATTTATTTTTGGAAATTTGGATAGTTGTAGTGACATAACTACAATAGTTGGACATATGCTACCGCGCAGTTTTTTGTAGACATTGTGATGTTCTTCAATATTGTTGTACATTATTTTGTTCTATCGCTAATAGTTTCGGCAGCGCATTCGACGAAAGACATTTTAACACGTTGACTGCGTTAGTCAAATCTGATGACTTTCAGTTGGTGCGGCATCGGGTCGCTTATATCCGAAGTTCTTCTTGTCCGTGGTGCGGTGCTGGGTCGAAAAGACCTGTTCGACTTCGGTCTGTTTAAAAGGGATAATCTTAATAGGGATAATGATGAAAGCATTTTTCATGATACTAATATATTGACAGATAAATACTCAATAAAAGGCTGAAGTCGTAGGTAGATGCACTAAATGGTATGCTTGTAAATAAAGGTTTTGTTTGTCGGATCTTTCCGACCCCATACACGCACTAGTTAGCTAAAATGTCGACATATTTTTAGTGTTGTGCATGACTAAAAAAAATATCTATATCGATAAAATATACTCATTTATTACTGAGAACTATTTAATACAAATTAAAAAAAATACAATTATATATTAGAAGTATGGTTTTCGTTAAAACACTCTCGACATAGAGTCTTTCTACATGCGTGACACATTGTTTTAACTTTTTTAACTTTATTTCCGGCTTCTTTGCTACTTAGTGTTTGGCGTAATTTGTCGTAACATCCTGAACAATTCCGTTTTTTGTCACCCATGATTAAGTTATGTAATGTTGGTGATGAATCTATTTCTGGAACCATTCGTGGTTGTTTTAGCGAAGCCTTTGAAAACGTTTGAATTATGTGTTCAACGAACTCTTTCTTAGTCATTTTTTTTTCATGTTTCATGTTGTACACTATCAAGGCATTTATGACAGTCGTTCCGAAAAGCAACTCTAACATTACTTTGCGGTACCATTTAAGGCCACGCCTTAATGTAGAGTAATATGAAGACATCTGATCGCTATAATCAATACCTTTCTTATAACTGTTATAAGTCAGTACGCATTCAGGTTTCAAAATGTCCTCATTTGTTCTTCTTCCCTTTTTTCCAGTATTTTTTAGTGAAGTATCATGACTTTTACACGAAGTCATCATTAAAACGGGACGTTTATCAAACCACTTAATAACTTTTATCCCTCTATTATTCATTTTACCTATAATGCCACCTTTCTTCAATTTAGTGCTGACAACAGATTTAGGTAACCCTTTCCTATTACATCGCAAAGTCCCACAATAGAAAGTTTTCTTGTCAATTAAGGCCTCAGTTAGTCCAACAGAAGAATAAAAGTTGTCTGCTACGACAATACGCCCTTCATTTTCTAAATCTTTTATTAGGTTTAGTACTACATTCTGAGCATGGTTTACTTCTCGTCCTCCGTCGCTCTTTCCAGTGTAAATAATAATGTTAAATGTATAGCCCTCTGGTGTGCAGGCTTTATACAATTTTACTCCATATTTGTGTGATTTATTTTTTATGTATTGACGAAAAATAAGTCTACCTCGCCATGGCACCATCGATTCGTCTACCACTAAAACTTTTCCGGGTTTTAGCACCTTTTTAAATTGGACCAACAACATGTCATATATTTCTCGTATTTTATATAGTTTGTCATTAACAAAATTAGTGCTATCACTGAAGTGCCAAAACTTTAACAATAACAAAAATCTATCTCTGGTCATGAGTGAAGTTATGTATTCATTTCTGTATAATTTATTTTTAGACCAATAGTCGTTTATATGAGGCAATCTCACAAAACCCATCGCCAGCAGAATAGCAAAAAACTTGTGCATTTCATCGGAGTCCGTTGCCTTCCATAAATTAACACGAGATTTTTCAGCGACATTGTTAGACTCGACATACTTACTAGCGTATTTATTTGTTTCATCTACTATTTTATTAATAATATCATCTGTAACAAATAATTTGTAATACTCATCTGGCTCATTGACATTGGAGGGGACGAAAATTTCCACTTTATCTTCAAACTCTTCAAAAGAAAGTGGGCTAACTGTTATATCTTGCCATTCATCATCATTCGTAGCTGAAGATGGGTTTGTATTGTAGCGGGAATTTTCTTCTAAAGAAGTATCTTCAGATGAAGAATGTGTAGGTTCACTAATAGAAATACTAGTAACTTCATTAGAATCACTATCAGAAATTGCATCTATTGTTTGAGGTGTGTTCCTCGGTAGTGGACTTGATGATATTATATTTTTAACGTTGGAGCTTGAGGGTAAGTTTGTATCAGTAGATTTAGGTAGTTTTGTTATAGGATTTATTGTTTTTATTCCTTTTTGTGGTGGAGTTGCTAATAAATTAAACATCTGATCTTCATTAAATGATGAGTTTAGTGATACCATGTTAGATGTCGAAATGTCGCTGAACGACCCACATCTACTTGTTAATGCAGAGGACGTGGTTTTTTCTCCTTCTTTATGTGAGAAGACGTCAACATCACTAGTACGTGAAATTTGCTTTTTACGGTACTGAGGTGTTGAAAAAAGGTTTATTTTATCTTTTGTTGCAGGGTGATTTTTTGTTTCAGTTACTAAGTTGTATGTTGCTGGTTGCTTCTTGTAATTTTTAGGTGTTAAAAAAATGTCGTAATCATCATCGCTGGATATGGGAGAATGACCATCAATTATTGGAGTATCGAAACTTTGATAACCTGGTTGAATAATTTTCTGTTCCAATATTTGTATTCGTTCACTATGGGCTATACTAGTTGATGGTGTGGGTGAATCTGGTGGCTTGGGATTAACAGCTACAGTTTTTAGGACCTGTAATGTGTGACCAGTTGATGGGCTAGTATATACATTATCAGGAATGTTCCGCTTACCCAATATTATTTGCCTTGGGGGACCTTCGCTCACTTTATTTTTCGTTGGTTTCTCACAATTCTTACCGTCACTTGACTTGAATAACATTTTCCTAGATCGTTTCATTTTTCACAATACTTTCTCTCTCATTTGAATAAAAAATCATCTAACCAGAAGAACTTCACTAGCTCTACTAACATGTAATCTAGTGCGGCTATAGGGTCATCGGGTATCGGGTCGTTTAGATCCGATAAACGCACTAGACGCAAAAAATTTTGCTCTAGTCGGCATCGGGTCGAATAGACCCGATGCAATTTTTTGATATATTTACTATTTATTTGAAGAGGCAATTCTAAAACACTAACTGTCTCATTTATATTCATAGGGAGACCAAATATATCTGTCTCGCACCAGCGTTTAGCACAGTAATTTTTACCCCGCACCAGTGAAAAGATGAGCATCGGATATAATAGGCCCGATACCGCACCGAACGTGTTAAGACTCATTTTTCTACACCTCCGGTTACATTGTTCAAATTTTATCAAGGATCCCTAATTTTTTTCAAAATGAAATATAGCCTATGTCAAATTGCAAGAATGTAGCATTCTATTGGTGAAAGATTTTTTTAAATCGGCCCAGTACTTTTTGAGCCTATTTATTACAAACATACAAAAATAGGTACAAATCTTTTCTTCTTTATAATATTAGTATGGATTTGTTATGTAGTATATTATATCTATAGCTATATTATTTAATAATTACCATTTT